GAGCTAAGTAGATGCAGACCAACGTTTGATTTTCAATTTTCATTTCATACCATAAAAATACGAATTCTTCGCTCTCATGACAAAACCACATGTTCCTAGTGGTCTGTTGCTTTTGGAGTTTCCATTTTTAATTGTTTTAACTATACCAGCTTTCCCAACCCATCTTAAGTATGAGTCTCTCTCTTCTAAAGGGAGATTGTGTCTCACACGTGCCCTTACAGCAAATTCAGATCACTCTACGTCCATTTAAAAACACAGTATGTGTTTGCAACCCAGCACTCAGTCACTGGCAGAATTTTGCAACCATTTCCCAGTTTTTTGTTGGCGTGCCTCCAAGAATAAGGTCTTTGTAATTCCTTGTTCAAACATAAGGATCACATATAAAACTCTTAGCAGATAGATCAGTTAATACAATCATCTTTCAATTTTAAAAGCTACAACATAATAAGGTTTTTTTTTGGGGGGGTGGATAAGGAGAGAGAAACAGTGGTTAACAGACCATATGATGTTATTATGCTAACAAAGTGGTAGCTTTGTGAGGGCATAGAGGGAAAAAAAGCACAACCCTTTTTTGCTGAGAATAATTCAGTAGCAACAAGGTCTGAGAGCCAGGAGTCCTATTGTTCTTAGTGAAACGATTATTTGTCAAAACATTTGATTGTTTCCCCGTTCCTACTGAAGAAGTTTGGACTTTTCTTTCTTGCTCAGTTTTGATAGCAGGATTTTAAACTACCAGTAGTGCCATTGTGTTTACAGCATTCAGGGTTTCAGAGTTCAAAGGTTATCCATTAACATGTAGAGTGAGGCTCCTCTTAGGTTAAGACTCAACCTGGTCCCACTAGTTCATAGCTTCTTTGTTGAGGAGCGAGGGTGGAAGTCATTTGTTTTGGGAAGTTCAGTGAAGCTTCTTGTTTATGAAGAGGATGCCTCTGGACTGTTTGTTTCAGGATGTGACTGTGTCTGAGGCCCTGAAAAGTATCTTAAAGAGAGGTATTCATCTTCCCCGAGAAAGGGAACCTATTGCTGGAAGTAATCGGTATCAGTGTACTTGATTAAAAAAAAAAAAAAAAAGAGTTCTGGCCTCAGAATCTACTTCTGGCACTGCTAATTGATTGCAAGTAATTGGCTCATTTCTTTAGAAAAGGCTAACCGGCCCGTCTGTCTGTGGGGCTAGTCGTTCTGTATAAAACGACAGCAAAAACATCACGCTGTGTGAATGCTTCCCCTTTGCTGAGAAGCTGCCTCTCAAATTCCATTTCCTATTTATTAAGGATTGCATTGCTCACCAGCCAAGCACTTACGGAGTGGCTTTTTTCTCTTTTTTTTGTTTTTTTTTTTTGGTCCTGATTTATTAACTGTTGTACTTTAAGTGCCTTTCTTGTTATGTTTTAAGTTTTTCCATTTTGGATACACCGAAGGTAAAAACAAAACACACACGACAAAAACAAAACAAAAACGGGGCTATTTTGTTCGTGGTGACTTGCATAGCTCCGTTCGCATTTGCATTCGTTTGCATCTTGGGGCAGAAAACTTAGTGGGTGCGATTGTGCTTCCGTGATTCCTCCTGGAGCTTAAAATGGGGGAAATCAGTGTCCTTGGAATCATAACCTTTTTTTTTTTTTTTTTTGTGAGCAGAGAAAGAACAGTAGGAAAACGCTTTAAATGAGTTAGGCGTGGGGAGGAGGGGGAAGGCTTTTTTTTTTTTTGGTTTCCATTTTAATAAGCCCGGTTTCATCCACGTGGATTTCTATCAAAGCCAAGTGGATTCTTGGAACCCAGGCCAAGTGTATAAATCCGAAGTTATAATAGCAGCGCAAACCCAGACCTTTTAGAAAAGTAACAACAAAGGATAGCTTTCTGAAGATACTCATTAAAAAACATTTTAATCGTCTTGTCTTATCGACCTTCCTCACACTTGAGGAAAACCTGAAAAAAAGTGCTGTTTGTGCACCGCTGCCGGTTAACCTGCCCACATGGGTGTGCAGGCTTTTTGTTTGTTTGTTGGTAATTCTGGATGACCCAGGAGCTCGGGCGGCCAGCTCCGCCCCTGGCCCCGGCCCACC